AAGAAGAAGAAGAAGAAGAAGAAGAAGAAGAAGAAGAAGAAGAAGAAGAAGAAGAAGAAGAAGAAGAAATAAGCTCCTTCTTCAACTCGCTTTAGCTAAACCAGTCAAATAACTGCACAGAGTGTTAATGGTTTTTCTGAAAAATATTATGTCTGCCTGAGGTGAATACTCAGATGTGACCCAGGTGGTTAAAGTCTGGTTTAATTTGGACCAGGGTGCAAGGGAGCCTGGGATCCCCTGGACATGAAGCCCATGCAGAAGTGCAGCTGGGAGACAGATGCTGTTGAAAAGAAACCTTGTCTTCCTAAAACAACACATTTGCTCACCTTTTCTGAGGCAGTAAAATGCAGCATGGGTTTTCAGCACTAGTATCAATATATTTTTTAAGGTGACTATACAAGAATCAAATTTCGTTCAAAAATTATACTTTCAGAATATAAACTTTTATATGTTTAGTTTTTAAACGAAATTAAAATTAATGAAAACATCATTAAAATATTAGGTGATACAGAATTTCACATGAGAAGATGACAGAAATTCAACAATGTTTGCTATATGAACTTAAATTGAATACTTTAATTTCATGGACTCAAGATTCCCTTTTTTTATAAATCCTAACATGATGTATGGTGTAAAACAAATGATATGTGTGCGCACAATTTTTGATAATAACCTCTTGTATTTTATCTCAAATAATCTCCTGTTTTCAGAAAGATACTTACTGTGCCCCAAAGTTGCTGGAAAAATGATATTCCAGGGTCATTAATTTAGAAATTCATCAACCACAAAATATTCTTCAAAATGAAAATTGTTAATGAAGTGCTTGTGCTGAAAATGCTTGTAGACATTTGTTCCCAGAGCGGTAATTTATTTTTAGGTTTTTCAGCTGTCATTTCTGTTTTTATTCTAAGGAAAACTGTGTTGTCCTAGAAATTCTATTCAATGCTTGCTGAAATGGAAGCTGTACCAGGTATTTTCATCAAACACTTACTCGAGGCCGAATTGTGAATTTAATCAGATGAATATAACCTTTATTCTGTGCCTAGTAATTCCCGGGCACCTCATATAATGCGTATTCTTAGTACTACAGCACTTGGTCATCCTCAGGGAGCAATTTCCAAGGGGAGATTTCTGGCTGGAATCCAAAGGGCCAACTCGAAGAACTTAAGTTAAGATCCTGTCTTTTCTCTTAGAAGTCCAGCCTTTAGAACACAAGCAGTTTGCTTGGGCTTGTGATACTCCAAGTTCTCCTAACCTTCGTTTATTTCTTTTTAAATTTACAGAGTTACATAAACATGCTGGGTATAGTGTTTATATTCAGGCATTGAGCTGGAGTTTTTAATAAGAAACTGGAGAAGACGTTTCTAGCATCCTAGTTACTTTACCCTGGAACCGCAACAGATGGAACACTGAAAGGTTCACTTGGAAGGGTTTCACACATAAAATGTGACTTGGCGGTAGGAATGATGCATACAGATTAAAAAGAATAGAACACATAAAAATTGAAAGAAGAAAGTAAGGTAGTACAAGACTTGTTCGCATTACGTTTACATAATAGTACTATGCTTTCCTTCAATTTATTCTATGAGAAAAACAAACCTACTTGGAGTAAGAGCTGTGTTTGTGCGCGTCCCAAAGCACCGCACACTCAGTGTCTTCCCGCAGTTCTATGACCAGCTGTGCTCCACTGAGCAGCCCTGTGAGCGCCTCACATGGCACTAGCAGCACCCGAGCACCACGCAGGCTGCGGGTCCCGGGCCCCAGGAGAGAGCTCAGTGCAGGCCAGGAGAGCAGGCAAGCGCTGGCCTCCCTCGCAGCAAGCGGGAGAATGTGCATTGTGGCTTAGTCATGAAGCTGCCTTCTGAGAAGCCAGATTCATAAAATATAGTATTATTTCACTATCATGATTTTTTATCTTTTAACTAGAACCAGCCCCAAAGCATAACAACTCCGGATAGCAACATAAAGTTTGGAACGGCACTGGGGTTATACCTGTTGTATACATATACTCACACAATTTGTAGTCTTAAAAGGAACAATAAGATTAAGTACCTGCTTTGGCAAGCACAAGGACCAGGGTTCAAACTCAGATCTTGCATGTTGAGCAGGTCCCAAATCCAGGATACGCTGAGCCGGCTACCAGTCGGGGTCTTGCTGAACTTGTCTGACTTCAGTGTCAAATCTAAAGAGCAAATCAATACAACACACAATTTATACTATGTGTCATACTTCTCCAACTCCCCTGCTAATTCAGGATGAGGCATGGGGTGAGATCAGGTGGGACTGGCAGGGCTGCAGAAGACTCAGTGAGACTATGAAAGAGGGCAGCACTGGGTGCTAAGCAGGTATGGGAAGAGGACTGAGTAACAGAGTGGATGGGAAACTAAATGAAAAGGGGGAAATATAGGGAGAGGGAACTCAGTGAAAAATTCACAGGCACTTGTGTGCTAAGTGTTAGAGAACCACGTGCATCAACTTGGAGTGGGAGGACCTGCTCAGACCAGCTAGGATAGCGCATGAGCAGCCACAAGGGCTTGAGCACTTGCAAAACTCTACGAGAATTCTGATCTTATGTGGAAGCCCCACCAGAGGAATAAGGTACTGTCCCTCAGGTGGGGCCTCTGCATAAGACCAGAATTCCTTTAGAATTCTCCTGCGTAGCTGGGCCTATTAAGAGGAAGAACTTGAAATCATCCTGCCTTTTTGCTTGTGTCCTTCCAGCTCCTGTGCCACGGGGAATGCCTGCCTGGCCGTCTGGAGGCTGCGTTCTGCCCCTCCTTGGTGACTTCCTTCCGCTGTTAGTTTTGGAAAGATTGAAATGGAGCACACTTGCCTTCACTTCCTTCTGATCTCTGGAATGATGGTCAGGGGAACTCAGTGTCTGCTCGTGTTGTGAGTAGGAGCTAAAAGTGTTCCCAGTGACTTACCTTCCCAGCCATGCTCTTGCATGCTGGTTCCCAAGGACTATACATAGCACCCTTACCTTGAATGCTTCTGTGGAGAGCACAGAGCCTGGGGCATCCAGGTCATCTTGACACAGACAAGGAGCCCCTGTGCCCAGCACTCCACTCCTCTCTGCAGCCCTGAACTTGGCCTAAGACTCTTTATATGTCAGAGCACTTTGCCTGCAGCACTGCAGCAGTTTTCAAAGCACCTTGTATTTTTGTGTCATGGCCTTTTTTTCTTCCCTGTTTCCCTTTAGTGGGCTGAAAGCCTCCACAAAAGCGAGGCTTCCTGCTCTCTGTCTCACGACATTGAGAATTCCCCAGGAGCATTTGCTCTCAGCCAAACCACTCAGTAGGATTTTTTTCCTCAATTGCTAGATATCGAGTGTGTGTGTGTGTGTGTGTGTGTGTGTGTGTGTGTGTGAGAGAGAGTGTGTGTGTGTGTGTGTGACAATCGGCCTTCTTTTGGATGTAACGTGTCTATTAAAATATTTCACTGTCTGGAGGGAAGGTCCTATTACATGTTGAAAATAGGAAAATATGTGGGTGCTCTGTTTCCCTCCTGCACCTACCAAGGTACAGAAGTTATTGCAGATGCCTGTGAGTACCTGTACTGTTTGAATCTACTTCCATCATTCACTCCTTAACCAGAGGAGAGAGGGCTTCAAGCTGACTGAATCCGCCATGCTATTTCCCTCCACATAGAGGGAATCACTAGGCACTATTGTTCCCTCGCCACTCTCGGGCTCCATTGAGTTCTCCTCCTCAGGCTCTGTCAGTGTGGCAGCAACGTTAAGTCTCAGAATTTGCAGAGCTTCCTGTCTCATCAGCTGGGGAAGGGAAATTCCCCTCCACACTGACCAACCAAGGATACTGGGCCTGTGCAGTACTGGAAGTACTCATCTTTCCACACACCATGTATCTTGGCTTTAGCTGATTGTTGGCTCTCGCCATCCTCCCTAGTGCCGCCTCCCTCCTCAGTCTCCTCACAGAGCTGTGTGCCTGTTGGCTTGGGCCAGTGTCCTTGAATGCATGATTTCTCTTGTGTGAGAAATTCAGCCTACAAGTAATGGGAAGAGCAAAGGAAAAGAGAAAGGAGTGCAAAGCCTAGAGCGGCACTTCTGTAATCACAGCACGTGTGTAACTCAGGCAGAAGGGTAGCTGAGGTTTAATCTCATCCTGGGCTACAGAGTGAGGTCAAGGCCAGCCTGAGTTGCACAGAGAGACATTTTCTCATGGGCTCTTCGACTCCAAAGAGGAAGAAAGCCTACAGCTAAAAAGAGTGACACAGGTCTGTGTCATACCTCTGGAGGACCTGAGATTGTGGGTGGCGTCAAATGTTTGAGCTCATCTAACACTACAACCATATTTAAAACCAACCACAAGGAATGTAAAAGCAGAAAATCTCCTGATAAAAGAGCTTCAGTGGATCTCAAATCTTCCTTATTGGTAACTATCGCCTAGTGTGTGAATAACCAGTACCACCACCTTGCTCTAATGCCCGTGATTCTGGGAGTACTTTTCCTACAGCACAGGAAGACAAAGAGATCTAGTTGAAGCACAACATTTCAAGTCCAGAAGACAAACAACAAGAAGGAATATGTCAGTATTTACACTAGATAAAGCGGGGTTTGAAAATATTCAGTTAAACACTCAAAGTACACATGCATGCACACACATGAAACCAGATAAATAGAACACGACAAGACGATCAGTTGAGTTCAATGCCTGGTTCTGAAAAAAAATCAGTAAAGTTAGAATGGATTAAGAAATAACTGTGAACCACAAAAAGGAAAAAACAAAACTGGGACACACAGAAATCATGTAAAAAGTGGAGTGAGTAAAAGCGTATACAGTAACTAGGAGCACTATCCAATAGTCTAATATTAATAAGGAAGGGAACAATGTGAGGAAATAATAGCCAGGTTTTAACAATAAGAACCCGAGGAAGGCACTGGCTGTGCACCAAAACATCCTGGGAAGGGTTGTTGTGAAGAAGACCTGAGCCTAGGCAGAGAAAGAAATGACAAAAGTAGAAATGTGAAGTGAAATATGACAAATATTGTAACTATGATTTCAATTACCTGAAAAATAAGCACTGAATGAAAGTTTTACTAGTTCATTAGGACAGTACACCACATATAAATATATCATTTGCGAGGAAAATGAAAATGTATTCGGAAAAATTGATCAGTATTCCATAATGAATGTTCCATTGCAGGTTGTTCAATAAGTGTTCAAAACTTAATTCAGTAGTACAGGGCTTTCCCATTGTTCTCCATAACTTGGGTTCAATGCTGAGCGAAACTCCCAAAATATTATTTTATATATCATTTTATGTGATTTTACCACATTATTACTTGTTAAAAATTACAATGTACTACATCATGAAGAAAAGTATATATCAAGAACAAAATAATGGTACTATAAAATACCACAAAGCACCTCATAATTTTTGTCCTCATAAAATTAAAATGAAATGCAAAATATTATAGACATTCTGCCAATGAAATTATTATAAACAAAGTTCTTTAAAATTAAATTCTAATACATGGAAAAGATTTTCTCCTTTGAATTATTTTATGAAAGCAGTGGTACAAATGAAGCATTTGTAATTTGTGAAACCAATTTTCCCCCATCCTTCACACTAACATGATTGGGAGCAGAAAGGATGCCCTCTCCCTCAGTCATGGGAGGGGATGGGAGGGGCACGAAGAAAGAATGGTAGGAGAAGATGAGTGCTGAGTTACCCACCAAAAAGGAACCAAACCCAAAGTTTCCTGAGCAACACGGCAGGCATGAAACCCTAGTAAGTTCAGGTTGGAGCATGAATGTTGCTTCATCTTGAAGCAGTCTACTGCTAAATATTTATTAAAGTAGGGAAAGTGATTCCTAAACTGTCACCCGGCGTGGCACCGTCTTGTAGCTTATTCTTTCCAGTGACCTGTCCAGTAGTGAAGTGTAGTAACAGCATAACCGGCTATCCATTAATTGCTAGGGCGCAAAACCACGAGGTCCTATTTGCTGGGCTGCATTACAGACTTTTTAAAAATCATGTTTTTATTATGTAGCACATTGACATGGTGCTGAGAAAGCAAGCTTTATGTGTTATATTATTTGAGAGAAACAACTTGTGTCCATGAACTGAGTAGTGATGTAAGAAATCAGTGCTGGCTTAGGGGCCAACGAGATAGCTCAGCGGTGTAAGCACCTGTCTGGCAAGCACTAAGTCCAGAGATTGATCTCTGGTAATGATAAATAAATAGATAGATAAATAAATAAATAAATAAATAAATAAATAGTAGTGGGTTATCAGCAGAACTGGCAATTGCCAAAACTATTATAGACAATTGGACTATATTCAGTAATTTTGCTGAATTAAAGTACCTGCAATATTTGAACTGGCATCAAGTATGAAACGGTCCTTTAAGGACTTCTCCAAATACTTCTCTAACTGCAATGGAACACCCATCTCTGACAAAACAAAACAAAAAAAGGGGATATAAATGGAACATCATTTTGTATTAAAAAATGTATATATAAAATAGGATAGATATATGGCTACTTTCTTAGTTCAATGAGAAGAAAGGTTTGTACTAATATTTTTTGTATTTGTTTTAGGGAATGGTCTGCAGGGTGTTCAGGGTCTCACTACTAGATCAGATTCATAGTGATCCAGCTGTTTACAAACTCGCAAGAGCTGGGATTACAGGCGCATGCCACCGCGCCCAGTCTCAGTGCACTAACATTGTCTAGACAGGATACCACGTCTACATCTTGTGTTCTGAATAACTACTATGCAGACAACAATATGCAATGTATTATTTATTGTAACTCTCCTAATAACCTTTTTCGAAACTGCTTCATTGCTAGTTTTTTCCCATTAACATA